TATTTATTATTTATTAAAGATAAAGACATAATTATACTGATTGCTAAGCATTTGAAGTAATTTGATGACGCTGGAGGAGTTTAATGAATATTTGACGATTTTGAATGAGATTTCCCGGATATAACTGGATATTATCTGGATATAACCTCTGGATTATCTGGATATTTTATCTGGAGGATTCGGATTCGGATTTGGATTTGGATGTGGATTAGCCAGGCTTTCTCCGAATCCGTTTGTGACATCGCTGGCCACATTATGTCCCCGGTTTTTTGGATTTTCCGCGTTTAGCCCGTGCATTTTTCAGTATTTCATCGAAAAATTTGTTAGTAAGTCGACAGGAGGCGAGGAGAGAGGTGAAAGTCGGGGTCTAAAAGGAGTCCAAAGGTGAACTGAGGATAGAAACGCCGATCAATCACCTTAACACGATGGATTCCTGATCAGAATTTGAATTGATCCGGCGTGAATTGATCTGATCACTTGTATGATCAAAATGGAGTGATCAGAGCTTATGTATGATGATCTTTCACGTAGTTTTGGTTTAATTCGAATCAAAGAAGTCTAACAATCGCAACAGGATTTGAGGCTTCCAGAGGCTGAAGTTTAGCAGCCTTTAGCTGCTACGCTGACAATGAGCTAATTTAAAGAATATGCGATTAATAATGTGATATGGCAGGATCATAAATGACTAATATGATCAGTTGTAAATCCAAGGCTTGATCCGATATAAATCCGATCTTGATCAGCTCTAGATCAGTTCTGATCAGTTATATTATGCACTGTTGAGGTGATCCTGATCTGTAAAGAAGCATTATTATAAAGCTCAAGTGTTTAGGGCTTAAGAACATTCAGGATATAGCTGGGAAATTGGACCAGTCCACCAGTCCACCCTATGAATCTCGTTTCCGCACACTAGACATACTCAGACGACCCTACTGCCCTCAGCTTTGAGCTGGTTAGCTTAAAATTATAAGGATTAGCTAGTTTATTCACTTATCTAACTGCGGGAGAAGTTTAGTAGACCCATAGGCCAGTGCTAGACCGTGCGATCCTGCAGATTTATTCCCATAAAGCTGGGAAAAAACAATGTTTTTGGGCAGTTTTCGATCACTCCCCATATTTTAGAGATCTCGGGAAGGTGGTTGATTTCAGGTATTATCCCCAAATGATCCTATAGGGTTAAATGCAGAATTTCAGAGTGGAACGTTCCAAAAAACAAGGTGTTTCATAGTAAATTTCAGAGCAAATCAATTTTTTCCTCTGTTTTGTCAAAATACTGATCTTTCGACTCCGATGCCGGCCGTTTAAAGATGATGAGGATGTTCAAGCTGGAGCTGGAGGACGTCAGGTTTGGCCTGCTTCAAGCCCTAAGGCTGGACTTCGAAACGGGCATCATAAACGATACCCAGCGGGCAAATNAGTCACCCACTTGTTTCCCAAGTCACGGCATCGACCTCGTACTAACCAACTGTAAATCTCACGAACGCTTTCATATTTGCCATTTTCAGCCTTCCCATTCCATTTCGCTAAGCTTCAGCTTTTTTTTCGTTTCAACAGCATGCCACCTTTCTAGAGCTTTTGCAGCTGCTTTAATTCCAGTCCGATAGCCACTATTACTTGATAATTTACTCAAATACTCTCGATCAAATACCAGATTTTTCAAATCCA